GTTCTTGGCAGCATCAATTCCTTTTTCCTCACCTAAACAAATCTTTTACTAAAAATTTTTGCTAATACAATTTACATATCACAATAGGTCAATTATATTTTTCCTCCTCTTCAAACTCATTACAACAATGGAAGGTGTGTTCATTACAGAGCTTTCATCCAAATATAATTGTTTCATTTGAACTTTCTTGGTTTCTTTTACTTAACAATAATTAATGACATAATGTATGGCTCTTTAAAGTGAAAAAAATTATACTTTTGTGAATTAGTCCCCGAGACTGAAGTTAATTTTTTTAATTACGAATAAAATTTTATTTCTTTCTCTTGTATTATTAGTCCATGTTACCTAATTCTTTTCTTGGGTTTAGCTTTTTGATGACAAAATTCTTTCATTTTAGAATTTTATTCTTAAACTTGTGCTTTTGTGAATATGCTCAGTTTTATTTCTCCTACACTACTATATCTATATCTGGATGGAGGGGGACTGTGAAATTAACCTACAATTTCTAACAAAAACAATAATAAATTAATTTTGTATAAATTAATTTATTATATTTTATTTGTATTTGTTTACGCAAGTAAAGCAAATTAATTTATGAGATGGTTCCACCTTTTTTCCGTTTCTACGTATTCGTATGTGAATACATATTTGCCTCACAAAGCAAATTGTTTTCAAGTAATAAATGGCAATTTCTTCATTAGTTTTTAGCCCAATCATAATCAGAAAGCTCTTAATCACCACTCTCACATCAAATATTATTCAAGTAGACCAAAGAGAAATTAATGAAGTTTGAACTTTGAAATTATTCATGTTTGTACACTTCGTACATACACGTTCATAGTTTTCACTATCAACACAGCTCAATAATAATAATGATAAATAATATATTTGTCATAAATTCAGCATATGCCATGTCTGACAAGTCAGGTTATGAATATAATTATACAATACACAATTCAGATATTTCTAAAAATTAAAATTCAATTCTCATATTAAATACAATATCATTGAATGCTAATTAATTGTATACATGGTAGTGTAAGAAGACTTAAATTAAAAATCAATAATAATAAAAAATACAAATTCTTCATAGATTCATGCGTAGGGTGGGTCTGTCCTTTATATCCAACAACCAGTTTAAGGAGGTTGAAAACATGCAACAAAAAATGCAAAAATTATTAGTATTAGCTTATATTGATGTATGTATACGTGTTTATGGTGTATATATTCCTTTGTACTGTAGAATGTATGGTTTAACAGGAAAGCTTTCAGTTTATTTTGAATGCGAGTTTAAGCTTTTAAATTTGCAAGGAAGTTTATTATATAGTATTATGCAGTCTGTAAGGGTACTTTTTTGAAAGAGTGAAGTTTCACTGTGTACAACTCGCAGATTTCTTTTTTGTCTAATGTCATAGTTATAAACTTCTGTTTTCAGAGTAACAGAATCCTGAAGTGTCTTCATTGTGAAGATTAATATTTCAAATATGTACATGCATGGGAGTGGTAGTATTTGTAATTTTTCGAACAGTGGTTTGCAGGGCTCATGTTTGTGAGTGTTGGTCATTGTTCTCAATATTCGTTTTTGGATGATGAAAGTGTGAATACTTTTTGGGGAATTTCCCCAGAATATTATTCCGTACTTTAGGTGCAAGTGAACATTTGCAAAGTACACCATTTGCAGTGTATCTAAGTTACATTTTGACTTCAGGATGTATATGGCATAACATGACTTGGTTAGCTTGTTATTTAGATCTATGATATGGGAGTTTCATTTTATATCATCTTGAATAGTCAATCCAAGGAAAGTTGTTTTATGGGCTATTTTTACAGGCATGTTTTTTTTCATCAATTGTGCTGGAGACTTTTCTTTAGAATTGTTTGCAAATTGTCTCTTAATTGTTCCACATATTCTCCTGTAGTTATTAAATTTGTTTCCTACGTCTTCCTGGATTCCGAAAGTTTAGGGAGACAGTTTTACTGATGTTTATGATGATTTTATTTTCCTGGAGCCATTTTACTAGTGCCTCTAGGACTGTTTGTGCTTCTTTTCCTAGAGTTTGTTGGGTATTTGCTTTTTACTAGGTTTCATTGTCAATTCATTGTCATTGCAAAGTATTTATTTATTACAAGTTTTCAACTTTTAATGAGCATAAAGAAAAAACACTGAGAATCCTTGCCTTACACCAATATTCTATGGTACCATTTTCTTGCGTATCACTGGTGGAGTAGTTAACAAGGCAAAGCGAACCAACCACCTTGGGCAATTAAGATTTTCAAGACGACACATATTTCAAGTTTTATTTCATCATTACCATCATCATAAGCTGACCAAAAATCAGGCTTTACATCCTGTTTCTATTGGTTTATTACAGTATTCTTGGTATATTATTAGTCTTCCAAGTGTTCCTATTGTTGCCACATCTTTAGTGGTCCCTAAAAGTTTGTACTTCCAGATTAATTTTGGAAATCTGTTGTTCATTCTCTGTAAATGATTTTTCCATCTCCTTTGAGACTGTTCTACCTCTTCTACTAAACATTTGGTTTTGAATTTCTTTCTGATATCTTTATTTCTCAGTCAGTGTCTTCATGTAATTCCCATGAAGTGTCTTAGAAATCTCATGTGTGCTTGTAGTTTTTGTTTGTTTCTCTCTTTCATTACCCATGTTTCACAACCATTCATGATTCTATGTTTAGCAGCTATATTGTGGTGTTTCAGTTTTGTTTCCGGGTCCATGTCTCTTAATTGTTCCCCATATTCTACTGTATTTATTAAATTTGTTTCCTATGTCTTCCTGAGTTTGGTTGGGTGCACTTACGACATTTCCAAGGTGTGAACATTTTTTATTTGTTCCATGAATTTTCTATTTATTACAACATTGGCTTTCCTTTGTTCCTTGACTTTTATTGTCAAAACTTTTGTTTTCTGAACTGCTATCTTCATGAAATTTTCTTGGGCCACTTTTGTCAATTTAAAAATTGCTCTTTGTAAATTATTTTCAGAATCCATTACGATCGTTTGGTCATCAGCATTTGTATCTATCTTTTTGTCTTTTGAGATCTGTAATCCTTGTCTAACTTTCCTTCTCCAGTTTCACATTACGTGGTTAATACACATGTTGAAGAAAATGGGTGATGATCCACATCCTTGCCTTAAGCCACTGTTGGTTGTTATTGCATCCTGACTTTTTCCCTCTCTTAACAGTATTTTAATTCTTGAGTCCTTGTAGAGACTTTGTATTGCATTGAGCAACTGATTTCGAACTTTCTTGTTTTCTAGTATTTCCCAGAGTTTCTATTAACTTTGTTGTAAGCCTTTTCATAATCAATAAATATTATAAAAGTTGGTAGATTCCTTTCCCTTCTTTTATGTAATAACATTTGTAATATAAAGATGCTCCTACCCTTTTGGAATTCACACTGCTCCCCTCCCATTAAATTCTCATACATTTCACAGAATCTGTTCATCAGCAGGTTTGCATAGCTCAAAAGCCGTTGAAAGCAATATAATGCCCGTACAATTGCCATGCATCTTCTTTGAGATCCTCTTGTGAATGTTAATAACCAAACCCTCTTTCCACTCTATTGGAATTGTTTCTCTTGACATACTTTGTTAAAAAATTCTAACAACATTTCTTTCAGTTCCTTTCCTCTATATCTTATGAGTACTATGTTGACCTCATCTGGTCTGGGGTTTTTCCAATTTTTTACTTTTCTTAATACTGCCTTGAGTTCTTCTCAGTGAGTTGCCTAGTTCATCGGTCAGAGATTTGGCTTGTTCCTTCCAGCACACCATTAGATCTGAGAGTTGGAGTGTTCCACAAGGTGAATTAGTGTCTTATCCAGTTTTTTTTTCTGGTATGCCATACAGTCTTATTTTATCTTTCACATTCATGTGCAGCAATTTTCAAAATTTGAAACGCATTCATTGTGGGCCTGATACATCTCTTTCTACACTTTTAAGAAATTTTCTCCAGTGTATTCAACTGACACATCTCACGTTGGCCCATAACCTTTTATATTCCATTTAGTTTTTCACAGTTCGTTTTTGGAGGTAGGTTCTGTATGCTTTCTTCTTTTGATTTATCATCTCTTTTAGATCGTTGTCACACTCTCAACTTCAAGTTTCATTTACAAAATCAAATTAATAACTCTAAAGGTTTATTTAAAAAATTATATACTTATTTTAACAATAATTTAACCAAGTTATTCGTCTTGTTATTTAAAGGTAAGATGTATGATAATATATTTCTTGTTATTTGAAGGAAAATGGTGCCAAAGAGAATTTCTTAAAATATTACTATTTATGGTTCATCAGTCATCATGTAATTTTGATATTTCTTATACTGCGTCTCTACCATGTTAAACTGGTACCAAACTAAAATTTAATAAAAAAATATGTTTTCTTTCTTTTATCTCTTGTAGAGTCTATAGTTGCTCTTAGAGAAATTGTCAAAAATCTTAGAAAGAGATCTCATGATTTTGATATTTTGCAACAAAAATTAAGTCTGTAGGAGATAAACTAATAAAAAAATTAAATTTTGTACAAACTTGTCTATAGTTAACACAACATTTTTAGACCCTGAAATCTGATTTACAACTTCAGAAATATGCTCAGGGTACTGATTAACTCCAAAATATCTTGATTGATAAGTTCCTAAATTAGTAAAATCTTTCAAAATGCAAGTAATACCCCTCTTGATCCCCTTTGTTTGGGGGAAGAATTAAAAATAGTAAGAACTAAAGGTTTCTTGATTCTCAAAACGCCACCGTAAAAAAACGTTGCAGCCAATAAACCATTAATTTCTCCAAAATAACGCGAGTTCATGTTCGCCAAATAATTTCTTTGGATAACTTGACTCAAGACATAATGTGATGATATTGAAGAAAATGACCTTGTGTTGCATATAAAAACATGAGCTACCATGTCATCGTGACTTGCGAAAAGTTCTAGTATTATACAAGAGAGCATTTCTTGATGGAATTTGCTACATCATTCTTAGGAAGAATAATCAGCGGACATATTTAGCGATAGGTTTTGAAAATCACATATCATACTATCTAATCACGTTAACTCATTCATGAAAATAGATTTCTCGTCAGACGTAAGAGGCTGATCAGCTGCCGACTCTTGCAGTAGTAATGCAAAATGACGATCGACTTCCTGCATTTCAGTACACTGTTGCTTACATTGGATAGTCGCTGTTAGTCGACATCGAGCCCGAGGAGCGAAGAGTAGGTTGAGTTCAGTAGAGAGATCGTTGTCATGTGATTGCATGGTTGTCTGAGTGATCTTCCGAAATGTATAATAGAAATGTATGTGCAAGTAATGAATTCCAGAAATGTCTGACGAATGTGTCCTGTAATATTTCCTTGGAACTGTCATGCAGATAAAAAGAATCGGCGACTTGTGTTTCACATTATTTAAAGGAAGAACAGCGGTGTAGGTGTGTGTTGAACTAGAATTTGAAGTACGTTTTAAATACAGACAGAAAATGGGATTACTCACTGAAGGCAGCCCATTGAGCTGGGAGGAAACCAAAAAACTGTCGGAGCATGTGCGACAGCATGGTATTACTCAATTTATCAATCTGTATCGGCGACTGAAAGACAGGCAAGGAGATGTCTTGAAATGGGGTGATGAGGTATGTTCTTTGTAAATCTCATATTATCAAATAATTATTGAAGGAAAACGCTTAACATTTCATTTGTATACTTGAAGTAAAGTGTTTTTAAGTTGTCATGGCTGTTTTTGCCAAGTTTACCTAAGTCTTCACTGTCAGGACACAGGACAAAATATGAAAAGTTGAGTGAGCCTTGAATACTTGAGTAGATTATGTTATTTCATTCTGGTTGCATGTTGTATGGATAAGGCTGGCCTCTATAAACCTTTTTCTTTAAATAAATAGATAAATAAATAAAAATATATATTATATTTAATGTTTATTCATAGATTGGTATATCATGTATTAAAAATTGTCGTGAACTTACTACGTATCACCTTCTTGAAAGAGCAATATTCATTTAAAAGAAAACAAATATTTTCTTGATATGGCAAGTTAGTCATTTTTTTCAACTTTCGTGGCTGTCAGATAATTTTCACAGTATTGCTGAACTGAAAATCAACTTTTTTGATGTAGCATGTGTTACCGTACATTGCCATACCTGAAAAATCATCACGGTGTTAAAATAATATCTTAATTTACTGACTATAGTGGTTAGCTTTCTAAATCTTTACAAAATATAATTCACTTTGAATTTTTTGTTACCCAAAAGGTTTTGAATAAAATTCAGTGATTTTTTTTTTTTTTTTTGTTCATTTGTTTGGCTCTGTTTATCTTCTCAAACAAAATTGTTCATTCATTCAGAATTACTTACAATATTCACAGCTGGAAATCTTTGACAGATATCCAAATGGATAAATGCAAAAACTAGATGTCACAGTTTCATTTAAAAAATTAGCTACTATTTATAAAAGAAACCTACACTTCTCCTTATATTTTACCCCACCCCACCTTCAGTTTTATGCTATATCTACATATATTGTTTTTCATGGAAGAATTGAATGAGAAACGTGCAAAATGAATTCAGTGGGGATCATTATATTTGGATTAACAAACTTTAATTTATTGGAATTACTCATTCATAAAAACATTTAAAAGATTAGTAGTAGTAAAGTCTTAATCTTTATGGGTATGGAACAAAAGATATCTAGAGTTATCCTTGGAATATTTGAAATTCTAATTTTGATTTGACGGTATTTGCTGGTAGTAAGTATTACATTATAACATAACAAAAAGAATAATTTTATAATGACAGAACAAAAACCTACCAGAATATATTTTTTTATTATATTGATTTTTTCTTTTAAGCAATTACTAAAATGAATGATTTTGTCAGCTGAACAAAACTAAGTATGATCAATAGTTCATATCACCATCACCAACTTACAACTGCTTTGATGGTTCATCTGTAGGACTCATACTCTGTTGCCTTTGTAGATACACATGACAGCTTAAAATAATGAAAACTGGATTTTGAAAGTACCCCAAGCCAATGCTTTTTTCTTCTATCTTAGTGGATAATAAGCAAATTCTTTTTAATATTTAGGAGACTTGCTTTTGCATATACAGTGATTGATTAGCTTACTGTCATGAAGTATGTGATTTTTTAAAAAAGTACCTTAAGAAAGTAAACATACTTTTGTTAACACTGATTAAAGAGGTGGCTAAAAATGTATAAAAATTAGATTTCGTACACCTTTTCCTCATATGCATTTGAAACTTAATTGTTTATTATTGTTTTTTTATATAATTAATACTACCCTGTAGAGATTTACCAGTTATTACAGCATACTACTCTCTGGAAATGGAAATTGTGTATATTTATGCCCTATTCAACGGTTTAGTGAACTCTTCTGTTTCTGGAGAAACTACATTTTGTAAGTTTGAGAACACTTTGCTGATACTGTAGTCAATATTTCACCAAAATAGTATGATCATTTAACTAGGTGCTATGAACAAAATTTCCTACTCTCACATTTTCTTTGAGTACAGAAATAAAGAGTAGATTCTTGTAACATTTTAATATATCATCCTTGTCATCTGCAGGCACAGGAGACCTTCCAGATGATTAGATCCTTCTCTCAATGCTGAGCAACTTTGCTTAAGTCTGTATTTATAAACATTCAGAGCTTGCCCGTGCGATTAGAACATCTTGCATCATGGAGACTTCTGGATGTACATCACTTTGAATTTTCAGCATAAATCCTTCATAAGCATTTTTTCCTTTGTTTTGTTTTATCCACTGTGGATTACCTTTCCCTTATTGTACATTGCTACACTGCTGCCCAACAACTCTCATTTGAAAATCCTCAAACGTTTTGTCAACATCTTCCATTCCGTTTCCTTAAGTTTAAAAAAATTGTTTGCATCAATTTGATTTTTTTTAGTATGACAAGACTTAATCCACGTAAATCACTTGACTACAATATATTCTGCTTAAGATTTATCATTCAATGATAAAAGTTTAATTTTGATTCACAACTCTTTTCCTGTTTATGGCATGTTGAATATCTTTTAGCTGGAAATCCAATTCATTTTCAGGGAAATGTGTGTTGAAATTGATAAGAAAAATTACTATTCTCAAATAAAGAAAGGTATTCTAATAATAATTCTTTTTTAAATAGAAATGTTTCAAATAAATTGTTGTTAGCTGCTTTAAAACAAATTCAATGAAATAAAATATATCATAATCTTGGCAAATAATTAACATCACACAACGTTCCATAACAATCAAATAAAATATAACATGATTTTGAAAGGTAATCACACTTAAGATGGCAAAGCCTCGTGCCTGAAGAAAGAAAGAAAAATTAGACACCCGCGTCGCGCAGACGGTGGCAACTGCAATGCGGCGAACCAGGGGAAGCCGCATTCCGTAGAAAGCATGGGTTATCCCCTGAATATGGCGCGGATGGATAAGACAAACCAAATAACCCATAACAAAGCTCCTTTGCTTATTCACGAATGCTCCGGAAATTAATGGATTAGGTATGCCTGTTACTGTCGCGTACGTCCCCTTCAGGGATAATTCAGCTGCAAGTATTTGAATATCTGGTTTCAATACTGAAACGTGCCAAAAATACTGAAACTTGGAATACATTTTTTAAAATGAAAAATGAAAACTTAATTCTTTCATATATTTTTTTAATCTGACAGCAGGACTATTAGCTAACTAATCATGAAGAGATATTTCTTGATTTCGACCCAAATGTGCGACTTAATCAGGGGATACGGATTGGGATCAGTTGGTTTCAATATTATCATGCAGAGGATAACAAAACCCATATCTCGAAAAATATTATCTAAACCAATAATGTGACAGCAGGGAAGATTGTAAACATTTTAAACGTTTGATTCTTCGTTTGTAATAATTTGTTTCCTAAATGTTGATGTGTTCAGAACAGTTTTGCCATCTTGACGCGGACATATCACCGTCTCTGTATGAAGTTGTTTACAATTTCTCTTCATTTTTCAATTAGAAATGGCAGAGTAGCGAAGGCACAATAGAATTAGACTAATACGAAGTTTATGTGGTGCAACAACAACAGCACACTTTCGCATATCATATGTAATAATAGTGTAAAATTATAAGCCATTTTGACTAAGTCATGCACCACTATTTCAAATACCATTGGAATCGAGCTGGGGGAAAATGGAATATTTCAGCCCTATTCCCCCCACTCGCAAGAGGACTTTCCATAAAAACAATCAAAAAACAAATTCATCTGCGCACTTGAGCAAACGAACCTATTCTCAGAAGTAGGTTTGACCTTGGCACGAAATGATACGCATTGAGGTTCCAGGATACGTTCAATGTTTTGTTGTTTGATGTTTCTTTTATTTTTTTTTTTCCGAGAGAAAAATAAAGTAACTGAATCTATTTATGTTTTTTCGATAATTCAAGTGGAAACACTGTTTGTGATCTTTATGTTTTTGTATCGTAACGTACCGGATGTTGTTGTGTACTCGAGGGTCAAACTAGTAGTGAAAACAGTGTTTTTGAGTGCTAGAGCGAGAGAAAATCTCAATATAAAACTGGCCTAATCCACTGATGAACATAGAAATAATACAGCCTGTGGTCTGTGATGACGCACTCCGTTTCTTTATGTAGAAGAATATTCGTCGCGTAGCAATGTAATTACTATTTAGGTTGAAATTAGAAATAGTAAAAAAGTATGATGCGTTAGAAAGTAGTTGTAGTACTTTTCTATTTCATTTTTAATTTTGCTTCCATTCTTGTGTTCTCATGTATGCACGTCAAATAACCGAATAAAAATGTAAAAGCAAAATATTTTTTAAAAAGTAATGTAGTGTGTTTCTGCAAACTCACAAAGGGGATGTTAGACTAACTGTCCACTGCTACACGACCCCCTCGCTATGTCCGGACCCGGTAGTGCACATTTAGAGATAGTAGCGAACCAATCGGTACGGGACGGGGGACACTATGGGGCTATACATCACAAAATATTTCCAATACCTACGAAAATGATTCATTATTGCACTGGAATTCTCGTAAATAAAACGAGAATAAAACGAGTAAAAAGTACCCTTAACTCCAGCATAAATGCAAAATTCTACATAAGAAAACATCACGTTAGCTGTAACCTAAATATAGCTATAACGCTACATTTACTAATTCCATCTACACAATAATAGGTTTAGAAGGTTTATAGACTAATTATAACTGTCATCCCCGGAAAATTCTGGCTATGGTAGTGTTTAGAGAGTGTAAGCAAGTTTTCGTAGTTGCAATATTTACATTCATACTAGATACAGTAATCCAACATTGTCCTCTAAGGAGCAAATTATATTCACGGTATAAAATGAACATAATTTTATATAAAATCTGTTCAGTCATGCGAGCGATTTTTTTACTCCCTGTGATGCCAAACTAGATTGGAGAGGGGGCGTGGTCGGCGAGTAATTCATAAAAGTTTTTCTCAATTAATGGTCAGCGTACGTTGCAGCTGTTATTCTTTCTATTATTTTTGGCATTCCGCTAACTGAAGAACGTTCGCAAGATAACAGTATATTTATGTAGCCAAAATGTAAGAATAGTTCTCTGTAAACATTTTCTTTACACGCATAAAAATATTCTATACATGCATGTCTATCTTTAAAATTTGGTCGAGAGATTAAATAACACTATGCCGAAGGTAAACAACAGAGGTTGTTTGAAATTTTCAACGAGATACAGCAATAGTTACCTATGCAGTGGCAATGTGCTCACCATATTTGAGCTTTTTGATAGAATAATCGCCAAGTTTTCTGTGAGCAACATTAGAATGTTTACGTAATTGGTAAATTCGATCGAAGAAAGAGCAGATTATTTAGAAGAGTCGTAATAATTACACATCATGTTGAGTTTACTCTAAATTAATTTAAAGAATTGTTTGTTTGCTTGTTAGTAGAAATTAATTTCTTATTTTTTCTTAGTAAAACTTGTTTAAAAAAATTGAGTCTTAGAATTCTGTCTATTAATATTCATTATTAAAACTTTAATTGATCTTTACGGAAATGTGCTTAATAATAATTTGAAACCAAACCGCGGTCTCTGAAATTCTGTTATGAAAATAAACAAATATTTTAGCGAACTTGAAATATGTTTTGATACATTCTAATGTAATATACTACGCCTTTAGCAGTGTCTACTGTATGTGAATAATAAATCTGGACTTAACTTAGTTGCAATTCACTGATAGTCAATTTTATTATTAATTATGTAAATATTAAAATAATTACTCATTAGATACGCAAAATTAAGGTAAATTATCCCCCTTTCGGCGTTCAATATTTTTGTCTCTTCTATTGGTGCAAATTATATGCCGAACAAGAGGATTGCTTACCAACAAACACAATGCCAATAAACGCCCTAATCATATACTTCTATACAAGACCCCGTAACAAGTCTTAGTTTATTTTGTCATCAGAAAATATGGCAGCCGAATTGCTTCAAGCAGAAGCACTGTATTTGCTCACAATTTCTCTCTGTACAACAAATTCGCTATGGCTTGTCTGTTTACATAAGTTTGATTACAATTCACACACGCATACATATTCTCAGTAATTCGACGTAATTTTTATCAATTCTTTAAAACATTATTTTTAGTAACGATATTGGAACAAAGTAAATCACTCCTGGAAACTATTCCTCACCTCCAATTACACCCATAGAATCGAGATATGAGGCTTTTACAGGTTGGGTTCCAAGCTATATGGCTGGCGGACGATTACATTTCGCAGAACAATGCGCACTTTGACATGTTCATAGGCTTTAGGACCTGACCCCCCAAAAATACCTTACAGAACAGACCAAAACAAGAATTTTCGATATCAATTTTTTACTCCAAAACATTTTTTTCCCGCATTTTTTAATGTTAGGGACGCTAGTTTTTAACCGAAATGAAAGCATAGAAGAAATGAACAAGATAAGCATTCGGTAAAAATAATACTGATTATGTTTTACATCAAACATAGATATCACATGATTCTACCATGAGCATTTTCAAATTAATCATCTAGTTTTGTTATCAATTATAATTTCGTAGATACGATAACTTTTTATTCCTTTTCTGATGAGGCTCTAGGGCCTTTGGCTTTTTGTCATACGCAGATCTTTAGAACGCCCGTGGTACGTATATAATTTTATTTATTACCTAATTTTATTGAACCAGATTTACTTATTTACTAATTAACTAGATGTGAACGGGACTCGGGTTGTCTTTTCAAATTTCCCCTCTCACAATCCCCTCCATAAGAGAACAGGTAGCATCATTCAACTGTTTTCATATTTCTCTGCTACAGAGACATTACCGTAAGAAGGGACTGCTTTGACTGGTACTGTTTGGCCTCTGCTGGCAATATAACTGCAAGTTAAGTCCATGCACTCATTTTGTTGGTGCGTTCGTTTGCAGTTAGCTCATTTGTAAGTGGCTTCATCGCGGGCTCTTGCAACATCATCGCCCTGCGCGACATTTATTTGTTTCTTCACCTGTCGGAGTGGTCTATAACCAGGGTCCAGGAAAGTTAGGCAGTGTATATCGAACTCCGTATCGAAGGCAATAACAAGAAATACCAGTAAAAAATAAAATCCATTTTCTACACTCTCACATGTATTCAGGTCCCGGTAACCTGAGGGCTGCTGGTGACGTACTCTAAACGCTTAGAGTATTTCCAACATTAAAAGAAAACATGAAATGTAGTAGGGCTGAATTATGTTGCCAGATAACTGCTGTACGCTAGAAAGTTATTGAGTTAAAGTACTGAAATGCAGTTAATACGTTTCTGTTACGTTGCTAATTTTCTCAATGTGAGTGATATGATAGTAAAATATTTATCTCAGAAAAAGCTTTTGTTAAGAGAGAAAAGTAGTTTATTTTTTTTTAATTCAGCGCAGAATTTCCAGTGATTAACTAAAATCCTTTTGGTTGTGGAAAATATCATTTTTAGATCAGAACAGTGAGAATTATTTTTGAGAAAATGTTATTCAAGCATACTTCAATTTTTGAAAACTGTTGTCAAATGCAATGTGTTTAAACTGACGTTGATCTTTCATTAACACTAATATTTTACGAAACAAGATTACGAAAGTTGTGCGGCACATTTTCATGTCAACGAAATGTGAATGACATTGATACCAGTTTCTGTCGAATAATGGTACTGCAAATGTAAAAGTAGTTCACTTAACATAGTCAAATGTCACGTATCCCAGACCTAATCTTTTGTGCTGGCTAGGTATGTGCAAGTCCTGGGGGACGCTGTTCAGTCTAGCTGCTCTGGAACAGTGCTGTGCATCTCATGGTTCAAAAACTTGCGCAGCCTGGGTGGTTTCCGCGGCATTTATAGCCGTTTGAATTGGCAGCGGTTCAGTCAGGGAAATTGCAATAGAAGTGGAGAACATAAGATCTTACCTAACAACTTTGTGTTTACATATCGAATTAAAATTCTATTTCCTGATGTAGAAATTAAGGAAAAAAGTTAAAGAGAATTTAAAAAAAGGGGGAAACACCTGAAGGAAAGTTACGGAGTCGTGAAAAGAAAAGGCTGTCACAAAACTTTTCGTACCCTTGGAAACGTCCTCGAATTGAACACAATGGTTATTTATTATACGAGTGGTAAAAATTGCGTATAATTATCCGAGTAAGAAAAATTGCGAAACGTTGGCAATAAGCAGAGTAGCGCAATTCTAAGAGTAAAATAAAATCACTTTTACCTAGTATGTCCAATCATTTTTAGATAGCCTTACCGACTGATTTTATTTTAGTTCAAGAATTATTTTATAAATCACTTAATGATATATTGTCAGTAGCTAATGCGATCAGACGAACGTATTTTATTTTCTGTTTTTCAATCACAGATTTATGTGAACCCTTCTACATAGTCACAGTCTCACTTTTAACACGAATGCTGAAAATTGAACTTTTAACGCACTGTGTATGTCCTGAAATAGCCGCTTTTACTAATGTCTGTTTAAAAATTCTATTATTGACGTGCAACATATTTGTTTGAATCCTAAACGACTTCTGAATGGTTTTTATTTCGCTCTTACATCAAAATAATAGGATAGATATTAGTGAAAGTAAAATTAACACAATAAATTTTTCCGCAGGTGGAATATATTTTAGTAAAATTTGACGATGAGAAGAAAATCGCTCGTGTTTCCTTGCGGGCCAAGGAAATCCTGGATGTTCTTCAAGAGAAGGAGGCGAAAAACCCGGAGTACGTATCGCAGTAGTTTGTGCCACTTCCCTAGCCTTTGCGCCAGTCGCGAAGAGATTGTCTTATTCTTTTCTTTGCGACGACAGACAAGTGAGGTCGTTGTGGCGGCCGGAGTATGGAGCATACATGATTGAAGGCACCCCCGGGAAGCCGTACGGAGGCCTGTTGGCCCATTTCAACGTGGTGGAAGCGAACATGCGGAACCGGCGGGATGAAGCCCGGCAGCTGCTGAAGCCGGGCGAGGATCTCTTGACAATCACTAGTTTCCCCAGGTAAAGTGGATTTCTTTTGGATTTAGCACGTAGTAATCTCTCTTGAAGGAGTTTCGAAAAATGTCACAGGACTCAAGTGGGTTTGTACATTTGTGTGCACAAATGAATGAAAATACTGTAAATTTCAATTCGACGGAGAATTTATGATAAAGTAGCAGATGTTCCGGCATTATTCGGGTATTTACTTAACGCTTATCCATTAATCCAGCTCTGCCGCTCCATCCCAACGATCGCATCGCACGCTCAGCCCGGGCCCGCCAGGGTCACCTCGCGACGCGAGACAACAATATCGCTTAGCTGGGTTGCGAGTTGCGTTGCAGATCCCCTCGACTCCATAAAAACGTCTGTTCATTTTTTCTCAATTGCAAATCTAACGGGGTTAAACTGAATTACTCACTTCGTATTCTCCCGATGTCCAAAAGATTCATTTAGATTTCCGCAATTTTCACCATTTTTAGCGAACAAAACTCCTAATTATATTTAATATTCAAAAGTTAAAAATTGTTTATCCAATATCTTAACTCAAAATTTGAGGTAATTTCGAGTAGCTTTCGGATGGCCAATGCCAATTTTTAAGTTAATTGTTGTAAAATATGTAACATTTGTAAGAAAAAATGTTGACCAAAACAAATTGCGTCTTTTCTAGTGATATTTTGTGTTGTCTAGAAATAAAACAAATTAAAGAGTTAATTAAGTATTGTAGAAAATTTGAAAATTCAGGATAAAAAGTGACGGAAGAAAAGTGTTCTACTCTACATAATTACTCCGAGATGAGTCAGCTTGTGTGCTAGTTGTCCTTGCACCACAGTACCGGCAGCATATAAGCGACTGACAGTTCTCTCGACACGTGTTGCGGTATGTCATATGACCTGTTTTAAAGCAATCAGCTTGCGAGGATTTGTTTACTTTCTTACAGACAGGGTTAAGCGTTGTCGCTCATCACACACGCACCAAGTCACGGAGGCGATAAAATTAGACTTTGGCGAAATAATCAATAAAATGCTTCAAAAACTCCCTAAAAACAAAGAAAAATGAGGGGAAAATTTATCAAAACCACTTTAGATGAACAACTCAAGCTGTTGGATATGTTACTGAAGTAATCGAGGCTTCCTTTTGTTGAAGTGAAGTAAGCTCGCAAACTTTTGGTTTGGACCTCTCTTTAAAAGAAAATCTCTGCCTTTATTAATCACGAAATCGGCCGAATTGACAATGGCGCTGGTAGACGTAACAGGAACCTTAGATTACATAGTCACAACTGCCGACATTGCAATATATGAGCGAAGAAATCGAATAGGTTACTCAAGAGTTCTGTGGTGAACGCATGTAACACCTCGTAAACATTATTTGAAGCAAGTATCATTAAAATGACATTAAAATCTATTAAATCCGCGAAATGTACATTAAATATACAAAAAAGATTAAAAAAAATACTTCTTAGTCGAAAACATCGAAAAGTGCAAGACCTATAAAAATGGTTCATTTTCTTTGTCATAACATAAAATGAATTTTGTATGCTAAACAGCAATGTCCTAAAGTGGAAAAAAAAATTACATTTTATTAAAATAGCCCCTAGTTATGAACATGCTATCAAGACGTGTGATGTAGGTTGTGCCATGTGTGTAGTAATGTGTAGCAACAGCGCACTGAACTGCCAACAGTCGGTCGCTGTCGGTACTGGAAGGTTCGGGATCGGTTACTAGCGGGAGATAACGCAGCGTCTGCAGAAAACGTCTCGGTCCATGTGACTGGATCAGTACGGAAGATGCTGCTTGGGTTTTGACGACATGCAATCTTTTGATGGGTGCATTCTAGGCGTAGCTAACTTGTAAAGGAATGTTTATTACGACCTATTGGTGGTGATAGTAATGTATAGTTGCTAGGTCATTTTCTTTTAGCTTCGCGCCTCTTTTGGCATTTTAACGCATTTTTTTCCTTCTCGTGTTTTGAGTGAGGGAATGTTTCATGAATTTACAATGTCTCACTAAAAGCAAACTATTGTATTATCAGTTCATGGCTGCATCAACTATTGTAGCATCAAATTCACTACTGCAGTGGAGAGTTTTTCGAATTTTCAAAATTACACGGATCTTCGGTACCTTCCGCGAAAAGTAGAGCTTACGCTTTTATAAATTACGTTTAAATATGCCAGCGAATAGTTTCAAGTTTTGAACTGAAAATCTCCGCCTCCCTTTTTCCCTCGACCAAAGTTACATTAGCAAAGAGAAGAAACAAATTTATTTAAACCCTCTTTGTTCAGAATATTACTCGAGTACTGGTTTAGAAGAGAAAAGGGCGCGAGTAACAAATTCAAAGAAAAATATGTAACGTGCGAAACAAATTTTGGAAAAAATATGTTCCCTCACCGGGAAAACTGAAAACGAATATTATTAAAAACAAAACAAACAAAAAAACAGATCACTAGCCACCCTTTTTACTTTCTCAACTTTAGAGTTCAGAGAAAGTTTTGCAATTCTGCAGAGGAAAAGCGCAAATAAAAAAAAATGTTTGATGTGTCCCTGATACCGAAAATATTGATTTTTCATTATCCTACGTGTAGTAAATAAGTTTTGAAATGTGTAGTGTTCTCGGGATTTAAAAACTACTCTGAGGGGGTTAATCTTTATTTTAAATTCCTCTTGTTTCAGTCGACGAAAGAAGTCGACATTTAAAAACGTTTGCGTAAAAAGCTTGTAGATATAGGGAACCATTACGTTCGGTTACCGGTTTTTCTTATTATATCGGTATACTTGTAACGAAATTTTCTCTGGATATGTGACAAAATTCCTTATGAAACGCTAAACACTAATTAGTAATATCCATACCAAATAAGGACAAATTCTGAAATATATGTAGAAATGTTATTTGGAATTGGTCTCGAGACTACGTCGCAATTCAGTCCTGCCCATATTATTGTTAAGTCAGTAAATTTGGGGTTAATCGTTCATTTTTACTTTCTCCTATACAAGAGTATATACGTAGTTTAGAGAAAGTTACGTAAAGCTGCGCGAAAACACGCTGCAGAACAAAATTCATTGCCGGGCCCTAATAACGAAAAAGTTGATATCTTCAGTTGCTAAAATAAGAAAAAATTCTCTAGCACGTGGTGTAGCCAGAATCCTTCTTTGGGGGCCCTTGATTCCGAAAAACCTTTTGACGGCAAAATGTCTGTCCGTGTACACCACTAGCGTCTAAACTATACCGATTTTCCCCAAAATGGACTTTCCCCGGTCGATCTGACTCGACTCGAGACCCTGCGATTATTAAAGGCTTTCTTAAAAATTGGGGTGTACTTTACATGAAGCCCCCCCCCCCACATTTTCAACATTTTCTTAAAAACAGCTCCAAATTTTTCTTTAAATTTCGTGTAAAAAAAATGAGTAAAATACAGTTATAATGGTAGCGTTGGTCCGCTTTGGACGGGTAACTGAATTTTCGATAATTTTGAAATATTTCGGGCGTCTTCCTACAACTACAAAATTGAAAATAGAGATTTTTACGTCAAATAATTTGTTCTCCATAGTGGGTTCATTATTAAGGACATATACATTTTGTTGAAAATGTTAGTAGTTTTCGCGCAATATTGTTTGTAATACGTGCAATTTAAAAAAAATACAAAACCAGATTTTCTCATAAATGGCTCCCACTTTTTTCTTCAAAATTTTGGTATGAAGAGTGCTAAATGCACTCTATAAGGTGACATAAACGTCATGTTGTTTTATGGTTTTTGTTTTTTCAAAAATTTCAAAAATGTAATTTTTTGACTTCACAACCAAAGAATAGTCCAGTGTGGCATTTATGTGCATAGAGTATGCATAGAGTGGATTTAATACTATCCCCACCAAAGTTTAAAGAAAACGATTTGGAGCCGTTTTTCGGAAAATCTCCTTTTTGTATTTTTTTTTTAATTTCACGAACTCTTGCAATATTGCGCGAAAACTACTAAAATTTTCAAAGCAATGTATATGACCTTAATGAAAGAACCCGCTATGGAAAATACATTTTATTTGAAGGAATTATGTCATCAATTTTGTAGTTGTAGGACGCCGCCGCGAAAATTCAAACTTTTTCAGTTTTCAAAAATTTAAAATTTACCGTAAAAATGGAACCTATGCCACCTTTATAAGTGTATTTTACTGTATACTAACAAGAAATTTAAAAAAAAATGGAGCTGTTTTTTGAGAAAGTTTTTAAAATGTCCAGTGGGTTTCGTGAAAAGAAAGCCCAAATTTGGAAGAAAGTTTTTCAAAATCGCGGCGCCTCAAGTGGAGCCACATCGTCCCGGAATATCCATTTTGGGAAAAATCGTACACATGGTATAGGCGATAGTGGTGTTGTCAGGCAGAGGAACGGACGTTTTGCCGTCAATTGATTTTTCGGTATAAAGGACCCATGCAACTGGGATTCTGAATACATCACAGGTAGGAGGATATTTTTCTTAATTTAGCAACTGGATTTATCTATTTTTTTTGTTATCAGAGCTCGGCAATGAATTTTTGTCTGTCGAAAATTCGCCGTTTTTTCGCGCAGCATTGCATAACGTTCCCTATAGTACTCCCTACATACGTATGCATACGGAAAAGTAAACATGCACTGGAAAACCGGGGAGAGTTCAGGAAATTTGTCCCAGGAAAGGAGTGGTCATCTTGTTTCATTATATTACAGTATGGTTATTGGAGGAAAACAAAGGCGTCACATGGATGCACACAGTCTGCTTGGGGTGGGCGCGACGCTCGGCGACCCGGATAGCTCGTTTTGGGCCACGAAGGACACAGGGACGTCTCTTCCTTTAGCAACTTTTCCCGGTGTGAATGCAAGACGCTGGAAAGGTTTGAGGAAAGCTTCTGCGTAAATAGAGAAGATCGATCGGCATTGAGCGAGGATGAGTCATTAATAATGCGTGACGTGACTGTAACTCAAGTGCACGAGTTCTGTGAACTGCGAGCAACGTTAGACTCGGAGCTGCTTCACATTACATAAGGAATGGTATTTATATTCTGCGCAAACGACTCCCCAGATCCTCGACATTCCTTGTTGAAACATCCGCAGCCGGTATTCACAGTCGCATTTTTGTGTGGGATGTTGTAACCGTTTAGTGTATGGGCTTAAAAGGAAAATTCTGGACAGATGTAAGGTTCTGAGTTTCTATTCAAATGCTGTTCTCCCAATATACCACTGACTCTTGGATTCGGAAGGTTTCCAACTGCAGCTTTCTGTGACCGCAGACGAGGTAATGCGTTTTGTTGAGTTAGCTTATTTGTTTGTTACTCAGGATCGTACGAAAATAAGATATCCGAAACAACTGGATATACAATTGTACGTATATCGGTCTGGAAACAATCGAACGTCGCAGTTGGTGTTAATCAGGGGGCGGATTTTAATGAAATGTAATTTTTTCACTTTAGGATAATGCTGTTTAGTATAGAAATTCATTTTATGTTATGACAAAGGAAATGAACCACTTTTATATGTCTTGCATTTAGTATTGCATTAAGAATTTTTTAAAATATCTTTTTACGTCATTTTTAATGCATTTTTGTTGATTTAATCGATTTTAATATCATTTTAATGGTACTTGCTTCAAACAATATTTACGAGGTACAACATGTGTTCACCACAGATTTCCTGAATAACTAATTCGATTTCTTCGCTCATATATTACAATGTCAGTCAGGTTCCTGTTATGCCTATCAGCGCCATTGTCAGTTTGGGCGATTTCAAGATAAATAAAGGTAGAGATTTTCTTTTAAAGTGCTGTCCAAACCAAAAGTTTGCGAGCTTACTTCACTTGACCAAAAGGAAGAGCTTCGATTACATCAGTAACATATCCAACAGCTTGAGTTGTTCATCTGAAGCGGTTTTGATCAATTTTTCCGTCATTCTTGTTTTTGTTTTTAGGGGACGTCTTTGAAGCATTTTAAGAGCATTTTATTGATCTTTTTTTGCAGTGTTTTATGTCATCAAAATCCGCCCCCTTGTGATTGGATGGAAAAAGCTAACTTCACATATTTCTCATTGAAAGTTGTTACTCGAATGTCTAATCATCGAAGCTAATATAAGGAAGAAAAATGAGGCTTTTGAACTGTTCCGGTAAATGGAAAAAAATACTACTTACTTTTGGTGCTTACTTTTTAGTTTATTAAGGAACTTTGCGTCCCTTGTTTTCTGGTTTCTGGAAACTGTCCTATCTGACTTTTTCTGTCGACTCTTCACATCTCTTCCCTTCTGACGATTCAATTACACTCCGCTCGCGATCTCCCGTACTCTACGCCGAAAAACATAATTGATCTATGTGTGATTGTCGGTTTGTTCCACTAAAACTTATGAACTATTTGAGCGATATTTTGCACGGACAGGATCTCCCTCCCCTGAATAAAAGTTTCACAGCCGCAAAATGTTTTCTCAAATGCAGTGAAATCACTAGGAATGATACGACTCGCAACGCATTTTGGCAGCATTGTTGCTGAGCAGGGCGGAGAGGTGCGGTACGGATGATAGTCAAAAATAGATAATCAAACGAAGACGGGTAATCAGATAGTGTATGTATATATGACAATTATTACTTAAAATACTCTAAAAATGTTCTGCAAAAACGAAACGTTTTCTGTAATTTTCTTGTGCATTCGTTTCTAGATTGGGCTGTCCGAATTTCACTGAGCCTCCTGTCAAGCCAACTCCGGGACAGGGTGCTTCGCATTCCTTGTTCTTCCCGGATGAGGCTATATTTCCAGGCCATCCGCGCTTTGCTACTCTCACTCGAAACATCAGGCAAAGGCGCGGCGAGAAGGTTGCCATCAACTTACCTGGTGAGTACAATTTCATCTCCAATGAAATAGTTTTGGAGGAAAAAAACTGGGCTGAACATTGATGATTAATAATAAGAGTAATAGTTAAATGCTGACACGAGAAACTTATAATAGCGGCGAAGAAAGATGTGTTACCCGAAAACTGTATACTTTTGTTAAGACTATTCTTAAGAACTGCTAACGGAAATATTTTAGAGGTATTGATCGCTTATAATACAACTCAGGGTACAGTCGGGATATAAATGTTATTGTGAAAGCCCGTTTTAACGTTGCTTGTATTGTTTGGTTTACTACATTCGAACGCGTCTATTAAAATTAGGTGATAGAAGGTATGTTTCAGATTAGCGAAAAATTCGCATTCTCCGCAGTATATGTGTTGTAAGATTTGTACAATGTAATACTAATGATTTAAATGCATTTTAACGCTCTCTTACTTCGTTAGAAGAGAGAGTATTGTAATCCTCTGCTGGAAAATAGCACATTTTCGACAGAAAAACGTATTACCCGGGCCTAGTAACGAAAAAAGTCGATAAATATTGTTCACATGTATTGTAAATTACTTCCTCTAACACGTTGTGTAGTCAGGCGAATGATTTGTGAGTCCTTAATACCAAAAAATCAATTGACGGCAAAACGTCCGGACGGACGGTCGACGCTAGTCCCTAAATTGTTGAGTCCATTTTCTCCAATATGGATAGTCCACTATCGCTTTGAAGGAACGAAGTCCTCATGAGTTTGATATGGATATTTTCAGTTTTAAACGTACTTTATATGAAACCTCAAAATTTTCTCAAAAATGGTTCCAATTAAAAAAAATCATTACCTTTTGATAGCGGGAAGAAGGCGTAAAATATTGACTGATGTCACCATTTTGTTGACATCTGATTTTTCGAAAATTGCAAAGGTTAAGATTTCTTCCACGTCTTTCTACAACTACAATGTTGAAGGTCGATTTTTCATTAATAAGATATTTTCTTCAAAGACATCTTGAAATAACGTCATGTACAATTTTCCGAAAATTAAATTTTGAAGATTTAGAAATTTTAGTGGACACGGAACTCTGCTGTTGAATTTTATGTATTGTGCTGTACTCGTGTAAACTAGTGGTGCTAAAATAGCACGTACTTTCGTGCCCTTAGTAATGATTATTTAATACTATGTATACCACAAATTGTCTTCGAATCAACACATCTCAGTAATTTTTTGTAAAGCACATTACAAATCGTAGAATATTTGGTGCGAAAACTAAACATTTTCAATCAAATATCAACACAGATTTGACAATTATAACTGTTTCTCTTACAGCTCAATCATGCCCCAACAATGAGACGTAATTAACAGAAATTCAGCTGCTGTCTCGCGGCGCGGAATGCCATTGCATTCCAATTTGATATTCCCTGAAGGCTAGCAATTTTTCTTTCATATTATTTCAGATATGTTTTAAAGAATTTCTAAAAGAATAATTTGTGAACGTATAACAAACGCTGGAGTGCAAGAAGCGAGCAAACAATTACGAAATAATTTACACATTCTTACTTGGGTAGCACCCAACTGCCTTGAATTACCTCTATTACGTTCACGAAGCGCAGGAAATTTAGAACGACTGACTATGACGCCAAATTATACACAAAAATAGTCTATTTTTGAAAAATTCAGTATGGACTTATTTGAAGATGTTTTGATGAATAAATTTCATTAAGAAAAAGTGTTAATTTTCAGAATTGTTATAGGAAGACGCTGAAAAAAAATTGAATATTTGCAATTTTCAAAATCAGGATATTTAACGAACGAGACCTGCCCCAGTCTCTTAAAGGTTCTTCTCACTATTCAACAAGTAAGTTTAATCAAAAGTGTTCGAACCATTTTTTTCTAATTTTGGAAATGCCCGAGGAGCTACATGTAAAGTACCCCCCCCCGCGAAAAAATTAACATTTCGGTTTCAAATTCAAGGTGCCATAACATCAGCTAGATCTATAACGTAATGTCAATTTTGGAGAAAATCGGCTGAACGGATTAGCCGCTAGCGTTCAGACGGACAAATGTTTTGCCGTCACTCGATTTTTCAACATCAGTGTCCCATAAAAAATGAATTCTAGTTACACCACGTGTTAGAGGATTAGTTTTTCTAAATTTTGCAATTGAAATTATCCACTTTTCTTTTCAAGGGACCGGCAATACGAAAGGTTATAGAGCCCTTTTGAAGTGTGAGAATTCAACGCTCTAGTATATAGAATTATACGCTTTATAACTGGCTTGTTTAATATTGTATTGGTTTTAAATAATTAGTATGTTATATTCTTAACTAATGGTAGAAATACCGTCGGTAGCCAAATGTCGGCAGCCTACTTTCGTAACTTCTGATTGTCTAGGGTCTGTCAGGTAATCGAGATTAAGGAAGTTCGAGTCCGGGGGGCCGTAGGATGAGTTACCGCTCCGGAACCCCAGTTGCTACACACCTGAAGGAATAAAAAGAAAATATTCCCTTTCATGTTTCGTGTAGTTATTTTCACCGCAATGTGTTTAGTAAATATTACTGAATGTATTATTCAGCGCAACGATTCGTTTAGTTATCTCCACAAGATGCCAATCGTTACGGGTACGACCTGTTTAGTGAGCATGACTATACGTGCATTAAGTGTGTTGATCTAAACAGCGGTTTCGTGAACGTGACTGAGCACTTTGTTCTTCCAAAATGCCGTTTAGTTGAATCTACTACATAAATAATTGTATGAATTAACATTTGTCTCGTGTACCGTCGGAACTTGAACCCTAGTTGCTCTCGGCGAGAGTCGTTGCTGATTTATATTATAAATTGCCATTTATGGGAAACGTTCGAAATGTCGTTTACGCCTCTTGTAAATTACCCCCAAAATTAAAATAACTGTCAAATTCCAGGGGTCATGACACCAGCCAGATAGGATAATAACAATTTTGATAAAAAAAAATTGTGTACGGTATATAAGCCAATATTGTTCATGGACTGACATTTTGAGAAAAAAAATGTACAGGGGCGAACAGTAAAATAGAGCACCCCTAGCACCTCCTTTGATAACAAAGATAAGCCATAATAGTTTTCTCGCGCGAAAGCCGCTACCCATCTTTATTGTATGTAACCCTAACCTAACCTATCAACACAAGGCAGCGGTCTTTGTGACAGTGGTTTTATGAAAGTTCTTCTAAGGCGTTCTCTATGGAACTCAATCGCTTATTTCGGATACATTCAATTATTTTTCGTCAGTTTCCAAGATATTTTAAGTTTGTTCTTAAATGTTTTATTTTGTTTTAAATTAAGACTTACAACCAAACAAAACTATAATTAGTCTCTTCATAATTCAGTAAAAAGTTAAAGTTATAACTGCCCCGGAGAGCAATAAAGCAGAAAGCCTAGTAAATCGTTTCATCTTTGCTGCCAAAGTCCTTCGTTAGTTTTTTTAAAAAAGAAAATAGTAAACGAACGAAAACTATTGTATTTTTTTTAAAATTTCCAGTACATCATACAGACAAGGATCAGTTTACAAATAAATCCAGAAATAAATGCCATCCAGTATATCCCATTATGAATGCATTCCAAACAACGAATCCTTATCCAGTTAATCCTTAATCGCCTCAAACGGTTTTAAAATATAATATTAATGTTAATGACTTTACTATTCATAAAAATGTATTATCTGACAAATAATATTTTGGTCCTACAGCATTACGTTCCTTAAATACAAAAATAATTAAATAAATGAAGGCCTAAACAACATAACAAAAGTCACTGACTTCAATTCTTTCGTAATTTCTAATTTAATCATTGACTCGAAATATTTCGTTGTGACGCGAAGGCCTTTTAAGGGCAGTGCAGAGATACCATGTTATGCGACATAAGTCCAAGTGGGTCGAAGTGTGGTGACCATGGAATCCAAATATATACGTTTTAAAGTGACGTATTTCTGACTTAATCTATCCAAATTTAATCGTCTTTAATTAAAAGATACGAAAAATAAATAATCAATAAAGATACGAAAAATAAATAACAAAATAGATAAGCAATAACCATTAATAAGTGATATAATTTTATTTTGCATATTATCATTAACAGAAAAATACAAGTCGGCCACACGTTATTAGTTAAATCAATTAATAAATAATACCCCGTAGATATACTAACACCTCGATGTACAGTTTCTAGATTGTGTTGCTTGCAAACCACTGTTGTACGAAATCTTAAAGTGGACAATATTATAATATTATGAATGATGGCCTAAATAATACAGCTCTTTAAGAATTATTTGCCTCCAGTTAGAAGGACCGATAAAAGCCATTATGCCGTCGGCACCCCGTCAACTGTATGTACTTGTTCATCAATACATTGAGAATTCAAATTGTAGAATTAAGTAAAGTTAAAGAGCGAGAAAGCAAAAATAGAATTAATATTGGCATTTTCAATAGGAAATTATAATTAAAATTAAATCGATTACTTTTCATATAATTCATTCAATTTTTCTCTTGGCCCGTAGTTAGTGTGAAACCTAAAAATATTGGTTTTAAAATCCAAGGGCCGCGACATCAGCCAGACGATTGGAGAATACCAATTTTGGAGAAAATCCGTTGAACGGTTTGTGCAGTAGCGTTGTGCACAAACATGTTGCCGTCAAAGAAAATTCGGTATCAATGACCCACAAAACATGGATTCTGGCTACATCACGTTTTAGAGGATTTTTTTTCTATATTTAGCAACTGGATTTGTCCATTTTTTCCTTACTAGGTCCCGGAATAAGAGTTTTTGTGTCGAAAATTCGCCGTTTTCTGATACACGATTACAATACTTTCTCTTTTCTTGTTAGTAAGTGCGAGAAAGTAAAAAAAATAAATAAATCAGGTTTATGGTATTGAATTATCTACTTTAACCGTACAGAGATTACCAGCTTCATAATTCAATGGATGCATTGCAAAAAGAAAACCACTTGTGTCAAAACGAAATATTGCGAAACGACTAGCTGTTGCAAAAAGACCCA